GCACCAATCCTCTTTGACTCTGAACAGGGTGATGTGGAGGAGGTAAGTGCAAACAATCAACTTAATTCAACAATGCTTTTTCAAAGATTGTTTTACAATATTACATTTTGTTCGCTTACAGTGTGAGTTTGTTCAATTATGCTCAAAGGGTCAAGTGAAGAGGACTTGTTTTAAAAGGACATTGGGAGCAGGTGAAGCAGGGAGAATGCATCCTGTTAATGCCCAAAGCACTTGGACTACAAATTTATGACTGAGTCTTAAATAAATGTGACCTTGGGTTTTCCATTCTTTTGCAAAGGTCAAAGGGGACATGCCTTTTCTACAGATTAGCTTATTAGCTATCTGATAAGTAACATTTATGATGATCTTATTTGGTTTGTTACAGTACCAATCTTAAAATATGAAATCTTATTGAGCCTTTCTGAGAGTATGTCATTGGGAACTCATGTCTCTTTTGAAAAGTTATTGGTTTCCATGGGGATGAAAACAATTTTGCATAGACTGACTTCCAAAAGGTATTTGATAAAGTGCCATACAATAGGTTCATCAGCACAGTTGAAGCCCAGGGAGCAAAAGGGATAGAGGATGGATACGAGGTTTGCTGAGTGATACGGAACAGGAAGTAGTGGTGAAGTTGTTTTTCACACTGCAGTAAGGTACACAGTGGAGATTTCAAGAAGTCAGAACTTGGACCCCCTGCTTTTCTTGATATATATTAATGATTTTGACTTGGGACCTCGGAGAATAATTTCAAAATATGCAATTGACACAAAACCTGGAAGTATTGTGAGCCATCAGGAGGGAGTGACAGAATTCAGGAGGACATACACAGGCTGGCAGAAAGGGTGTGACGGATGAAATTTAAGGCAGAGATGTATGAAGTAATACAGTTTGCTAGAGAGAATAAGGATGATCAATATAAAATGAAGACAATGATTCGAAGCAGGATGCAGAAACAGAGAACTGTTGAAGTTGTCAAGGCAAGTTGAGAAAAAAGTTAAAAAGGCACATGGGATCCCGGTCATAGAATGCAAAAGAAAGGAACATTTTAAAGCTATTTCTCACCATTGTCTGCTGTTCTTTCATATAAATTTCCCTCAGTATATGTTATGCTATACTGGTATTTGATTAAAATGGAATTATATAATACATAATGTCCGCATTGCTGTATGCCATTACAACCAATAATTTTTTTTTAATATTTTATTGTATCAGTATGTTATATGCGTAAATTTTATATCAAATTGCATTGTATTCCATTTAGTTTATTAGAGAACCTTAGGGTGAAATTCAATCATAAACGTTAAATGCAGCTTGGGACAAGATTTATCCAGAATACACACATGTTTTTCATCAGTTTCACCCTAGTGAAAATGCAGCTGACATAAATGAGATCAACAGCTTGTCCCACAATGTAGGTTTTCATCAAGGTGATGCAGGTGATGGGGAGGAGCTGTTGGCATCTAACAATGAAGCTCCATCAAATGAAGATTCTCCATGAAACAAAGAAGACAAAAGCATATTTGGGGGAGGAGGATGATGATGACAAAGGCATTCAAGAAGCATAAATAACCGATCAAATTATAATGAGAAACAAAGTTATTTGGGTACAAATGGAGGAAGATGGTAACATTGTGGTGATGTCAGTGCTCTAAGCAATCCTGACATCCAGGCTAATCTCTGGGAATGAGTTTAAATCCCACCGTGGCAGCTGCCAGAATTTAAATGAAATGAATAAAATCTGGATTTTAAAATACTAGTCTCAGTAATAGTGAACATGAAACCATCATAACTGTCATCAAAATCCATCTGGTTCACTTATGTAAATCTGCCATCTTATCTGTGCTATTCTACATGTGACTCCATATCAATGTTGTTGACTTTTAAATGTTCTCCTAAATGGCTACTCAGTTCAAGGGCAGTGATAGATGGCAAGATAAAAGTGTTGGTGTTTCCAGTGATGCCCATATTCCATGAAAGATTAATATAAAAATAAAGTAAATGTTGTATAACGTAATAGTTCTGAAGGGGTTAATGTTTATCTTACATTGGATCCACCCATTCTACTAATGTCATATTGTCTGTAGATGGTGACAAGGAGTTCTTATCTAATTTTCACAGGGAGTAGATATATCTACATCAGCTCCCTAAGGTCCTAGCAACTATGTCTGCTCAAATGTAGTCGTACTTATTGCTATTGGAACATAAAAACAGGAAGCAGAAGCAATTCAGCCCCTCAAGCCTGCTCCACCATTTAATACAATCATGGATGATTTCATCTCGGTCTCAACTCCACTTTCCTGCCCAGTTTAACCCATTACAAATTAAAAATCTATCCCTACCTTAAATTTATTCAGTGTCCTGGCATCCACTGCACTCTGGACTAGTGAATTCCGCAGATGCACAAGCCTTTTAGAGAAGCAATTCCTCCTCATATCTGTTTTAAATCTGTCACCTGTTAGCCTAAAACTATGAAATTATTCATGCAATAAACTTTCTTGTTATCTAAGACTGTGCCTCTTCCATAGATATTCTAGTGGTGTATCCTCTATCGATAATCACTAGATATGTGCAAAAGGAAGGAGGATTGTTGGCAGAAAACTACCTCAAACTACTCTTACCCAGTGTTATGAAGAGCTTCTTTATTAGCATTTCTTTTTTGAGGATTCATGTTTAAAGGATTGTGGAGATGGTTCATTCGAAAAGACTGAGGAGGACCTAGTTTTATTTTAAAGAAAGTATTAAATAAATTCACATTGGGATTTTTTTTCAAAGATGCTCTTTCAAGGTCACATGTTTTAAGCTAATTGAACTTAGAAACTAGAAATCACATGCCTGAGTTTATGGCAGTCAGGAGTTCTTTTTGTTTGAAGATTGTTTGGAGTTCAGTTGGGGTATAGCCTACTGAGATTAAAAAAGTTACCTGACTCATCCTCTTCCTTTCTAAGGATCCAATGTGCTAATGGAAAGACTGATCCAGATGTTCTCCTGAAAAGTCTCTAAGAGTCCTTCATTCCGTTCCCTGAACAAACTACATCTGCAAAGGTCTTGGTGGCAATTGCCTGTGTTTAATGACACCAACCTACATGCACCAGGATGCCAACTGAAAGTCATCTTGATACGTTAACCTTTATTCCTTCAAGAATTAACGATTATGGCCAAAGTGGCTTTATTTTGTAAGTTAGTTGCTGCAGAAAAAGCATTTTTTCAACTGTTATGTTTGTAGGGGATTTTTTAGAAGCATAAATATTCATAGTTTCATTTTACAAACTGTATTAATCTGCTTTATAGCTTTGTTGATTAAGTCTTGTTTTAGAATAACTTAATAATTTTGTTGTTTATTAAAGAAACCTGGTTGATGGATCCTTTCATTCCAAACCTGATATTGGTAAGGTATGTAATTGGCCATATCAGTAACTATGTAAAATATTTAAAGTTATGCTGAGGTTAGTGAGTGGTGGGACTACCTCAATCATAATATAAAATTTGGGGCTTGCAGAATAACTGAAAGCTGGAAAAGTGCAACAGAAAGTAGGGTAAGAATAATTGAATAGGATAAAAGATGCTAGGTTTCTTGTGCATGCAGCAGGTTAGTAGGTGACATTAGAGCATATGGGATAAGTGATCATCTCATGGCATGGACTGAAAATTATTTAACAGCCATGGTAGGATTTGAACCCTCACCCTGGGACAGTAGCCTGGCTCTCTTTATTAACAGTCCAGGGACATTACAACCATCTCAAAGCCTCTCCTTAATATGGATCAATATCTCATAAGTTTACTTGGCTCACAAATGAGAAATTTTACCTTTGTGACCCAAATTCCTTCTTGGCCATGGCCCAACCCAATTTCCTCAACCTTGCTTAACACAACACGCCCCCACCCTGTTCCAAGCCAAATTCTTCACCCTCCATTCTCAACTCCCCCCTTATGCTGGGCCCAACTCCCCCTGCCCCCAACTGCCTTCCCAGCCTCAGCCTCATCCCACTGCCCCTTGGGCTCAACTCTCCACTCAGCTCATCTCTCTTATTTTTTTCTTGCTTCTGCATGAGGCCGGCTATGCGTGATTCAGGTATAAAGTTGTCTTACCTTTTGGTCTTTGGTCAGTGTGTTATCACAGATATTCACTGTATAACAAGCCCCCAGTCCCATTTGATGTTTTCTTGTGCAACAGCTTCTCATGTGGCACTTTATTAAAGTACCTGGCACTGGTCACAAAATGATTCTGGTCTGACCCCAGATGAACAATAATGCTTGCTTTATACTACACAAAAAAAATGTTCGATTCATAACACGTAGAAAATGCTGATGCCATGCTATAAATACAAAATTGTGCACTTAATATGATGATTAAATTTCCTAAGGTGCTTCACCTAAGAGACACTACAAAACAAAATATGTCACAGAGCTACTTAAGGAGACATTAAGGGAGATGACCAAAGGTTTGGTCAAATACATAGGAATACCTTAAAGGAACAAAACAAGATGGAGAGGGGGAAAGAAGGGAAGGTATTTTAGAGCTTGGGATCTTTCTACTACAGGTGAAGCCAATAATAGTGGAACCACTAAAACCAGAGACACTGAAGACTCTAGAGTTAAATGATTGAAGGTATGCTTGTCTGATATTAAATGAAGAAGAATGTTAGTTTCATAGAATCCCTACAGTGTGGAAACAGGCCCTTCGGCCCAACAAGTCCACACTGACCCTTGGAGCATCCCACCCAGAGCCATCCCTCTATAACCCACCTAATCTACATGTCCCTGAACACTATGGGCAATTTAGCATGGCCAATCCACCTAACCTGCACATCTTTGGACTGTGGGAGGAAACCAGAGCACCTAGGAGGAAACCCACACAGACAGGGGGAGAATATGCAAACTCCTCACAGACAGTCGCCCGAGGCTGGAATCAAACCCGGGTCCCTGGCGCTGTGAGGCGGCAGTGCTAACCACTGTGCTACCATGCCGCCCGAGGGAATAACACTTGTCTAATACTAGTATGAATTCTCTGTCAGATGTTTATTGAGAGTATATTTAGCCAAATTTGGCATTCAGTCATTTACAAAAGCATTCTTGTTTTTTGACATCCATTCCTCAAAGCACTGTGCCTTGGGATTTAACATTAATGTCAGATCCTTGTTGCGATGAGGTTGTTTCATATAAAACCGGAACATTTTGGCAAGTTCTTGGGCTCCTGGAAAATTTCGTTCCTCATATTCCTTGATTGATACCTGAAATAATAATGGGAATTTGTTAGCTCTGTAAAATTCACACATGTATCCAGTGCAAGAAAAGCTGTGCAATACTTAGGACTGATGTTAAATTCATACTACACAATTCTGGATTTCAGCATTCCTAAGATCAAAACCAGTTCACCAAAAGGAAAAATATTGTGCTTAAATCAAGACTGTACTTTTAGAAAATGGTTATATTCTTGTTAAAAATGCTTTTAGAGAAATCATCAGTGCTCGAATGTTACATGATTCAGGAGGTGAATATAAAGCAGCTCTTCGAATTTCATGGTAAACATGCATTCAAGTTATATACCAGATCTATTGACAAAATCCAGCATTGTATCCAATGGAAGACTGCATCAAGCACTGGACACAATTGGGTCTGTTGTGTAATCTAGAGAAATAACAGCTATTTGAAATAGGCTACTTACGTGAGTGTGGATCAAATTACACAATTTACCATTGCTTTTAAGCGGCTCAGGTTGTGCAGATAAAGACTGTGAAATTGGACAGGTCCCAAAAACGGTAGCAAACTTTGTGCTCTCAGCTAGTTTAAACGATGGTAGTGTGTAGTCAGCGCTAAACACATCACTCAACGTCTGCACACTTGAACAGGGGGATCAAAACAGTCAGACGCTAGCAAGACTAAAAGCTTAACCTCCACTACTTACATAAAGGTAACTTACACCTCTCAAAGCATTCTGGCTTCAGCATGTATGAAAAGATGTCTGATAACTGATTCTGACCTGGGAAAGACTCAAGGGCGTCACTACATGGTAGAGATTGAGCAGTGAGATCTTCTTGGAGGCTCTGATACAGGGAGTGGAGATGTCACCTAATCACAGGAAGCCAAAAGGCCCTCCAGGTAAACATCACAAAGGCAGTGAGAGAAAACAGTTTCGGAAATCAATACAAGGCTCTGGGGGCAGTGCTGGAAGAAATACAATGGCCTCAAAAGAACGATCAAGTAAACATATTTACAGATACCATAACCCACCAATTCGGCCACTAAAGCCTCAAACCCTGCTCAGTACACCGTATCTCCAACACTTACCAATCAACAATCTCTTTCAATTACCACAACATAGCTTCATCTCATCTGCACTCACTTAGCACTGTTGCACACCTCACAGCCACATCTTACAGCTTCCACGTGTTGCCAACTACTCAACCACATCATCCACACAAGTTGACCCACACTTTACTGACATACTTTCCTCTTTCTTGAGGCCAAACTGGCACATAACTATAGGCAGCAGCATATAATTCCCAGGAGTGGGAGGGATAGATATAACAGCATGTCCTTGTCCTTGTGTGAAAATCATTAATGATCCAAATGGGTTTTTATGACAATCGATAAGAATTTCAGTCAGCGCTATTTAATTGATGAGTTTAAATTCAGCCAGCTGCCAACGTAGGAATTGAACCCATTGTCCTCAGAGCATTACGCTAGGTCTCTAGATTATTAGTCCATTTACCATACCACTATATTATCATTGGGTTCCAGCAGAATTTTATGACAGCCCTTGAACTGTGCGTGGAAGCAAACATGCAATCCCAAAGGACACACAAAAGTAGTTGCTGATATTCAATTATGTATGGCATCAAAGAGCTCCAGTAAAATTAATGTAAATGGAGATAAAAGCATACATTTTCCAGTGATCACAGCTATCAGTAAGAAAGATCACTCTGATTTTGAAGACCAGTCACTACAGTCCCAGGATATCATGACAGGTACTCTTCAGAGATGATTGTTTAATTGCTTAAATGTAAGATTTCCCTTTGCTTAAAATATCAAGAGTAGCACAAGTCACTGGTCATTATACACTGATCAGCTCTGTTCAGAATTTCTCAGAAAATGAGGTAGCCCATGCCATCCTACTAGATAATGCCATCCTACTAGACAATGGATTTGGATTGACGAGAAGCACCAGGCAACAGTCAGAACATGACCTTTTCAAACAACAGCAATTGTAGCCATCTCCCTTTAACTTTCAATGGCACTACCATCACTACATATTAACAGCATGGCTACAAAAGGAGAGCAGAAAGTGGGCACTTTTTGACAAGTCGTTCACTTCTGAATCTCTAATCATTTTAAATATTCAAGTCAGAAGCACGGTCAGGTACATAATACTTCTTAAATAAATTGCTGTTGTACTATTGCCTTACAGTGTGTTACTTTAAGAGTTGATAAGTTCATGAACCAAAGACCAGGATACAAACCACACGACCATTTGCCATGTGCAGTCCAGTAGGAGGCGTGCTAGCAGGAGGCTGCATACATAGTTACTTATAACTGCATGTTCTGCTCTACGCTATCAATAAACCTCTGAGTATTTCAAGTAACAGTATCCCATACTTAATATGTGTCACAAGATAACACAATGACAGTCAAAATGATACACAAGAAACATGGCCCCAGTCAAAACTAAGCAAGTTCATTTGATTAGTGCCCCATCACTAAACACAAGTTACCCCCTATATTACTAATGTACTATGACTGCAGTATGTACAATCTAAAGGATGAACTACAGCCACTCATTGAGGTTAATTCAACAGAACATCTCTGCCCCATAACTTTCATCACGGTGTAGGACAAGCAGCAATGCCATGGGAACAGCAAACTTCCAAGCTCCCCTGTAGGTCACACATAATGTACCACTATTCCTTGACTGTCATTGGGTGAATACCCTAGTTTTCCCGAGTGGCTAGCATAAGGGGAATGTCCAGCACCACCTTCTCAATAAATGATGAACAATAAATGAGGCCTTGCCATATCAACCCTTCCTGAGAATAAATATAATCCCAACTTCTGACAACATTAGGCATCACCAGAGAATTTAAAATAAATAAAATAAACAAACAAGTTCTTCTGAGCTTGAGCACTGGTGCTTGTCTGAAGAAGTGTAGAATCTTTTGGTGCTAATGGGCCTCAAAATGCATGTCCTGAACTTCAGAACCACACAGAAGATTAAAAAGAATGTGCAACGTTATATGGAACCGGGACCAGTTAGATAACTCTTTCTGAAATTTGACACAGGTATGAATTGGCTGAATAATCTCCTCCTTCCTGAAGGATTCTGTCATTCTATGATCTTTTAATCTGCTTGTAAGCCAAGACTTTGGTGTTCTGTTTCAGAATTTATTCACTAAGTAGGCCAAAATTAACATCTAATATCATTCAGATAGAACAAACCAGCAAAACAAACATAGGTACAAAAACAGGTGAGTTGGCTGAGTCTCAGCAATCATATGTGGCCAATAAGTTGCAGACTGAGCACTCTGGTGTAGATGCTCCTTTTGATTATTGAACAATGAATTTCAAAATCCTTTTTTAAACCAACCTTAGAATCTTGAATTGATTTTCCAGTGTGTCGCGACATAATTGCAGCATACTCCTCAACTGTAAGCTTGTCAGTGCTCAGGCCTATCTCTTTCCCAATATACTTTTCAGGGCTTTTCAAGATGGCCAGCACAACTCCACCCAAGTCTTTTACAGACATGCCATCCATTGGAACTCCTTCCATTGGAACATCTATTGGAATTGATTATTCAATCACTTAGATAAATAACAACAGAAGATCTGATAACAGACAAATTAAAAATAGACAAATTCAATATGAAATCTAACAAAAGCTAACATATTACTGTTAAAGGCAAAATACTATGGACACCAAAAGTCTGAAACAGACACAGAGAATGCTGCAGAAACTCAGCATGTCTGGCAGCAATGTGAACAGAGAAACAGAGTTAATATACTGAGATGAGCATGATTTCTTCAGACTCTTGTTTAGAACTCTGAAGAAGTCATATCAGACTCGAAATGTTAACTCTGTTTCTCTCTCCACAGATGCTGCCAGATTTGTTCAGTTTCTCCAGCATTTTCTCTACGTCTGTAACTGATTGTTGTTATTTGTCTCATTTTCAACTGCTCTTCTCACTTTCATATGTCAGGATTTAATTTCAACTTTTTCTTTAAACAGCAGAAATTCAGCTAAACGAATCAGGAAATATAACTAACCAACCAATTAGGTTCTTTTGTAAGGAATTTCACTCAATTAACTATACTATTTTCTTGTACCATCAGTTACAATGAAATTTTGTTTGAAACCTGAATATCAAGGCTTACTGAAGTGAAATACTGGTGTCTGTTTTAATGGTTTCTCAATAAGTCAATTTCGAAATTATCTTTCCTGGTTTATGTTGATAACCTCAGATGTTTTTAAATGTAAATTCTCAATATTTTATATCTTAATCAAAAGAATGGAATTAATATTGGTGTAAATCAACATTGGGAATATACATCAGCATAATAAAAAAACAAAAGAATGTGCACCACAGATCAGGAATGTGTGGTTAAATCCCAGTCTGTACTGAGTTACTGATTTCAACCAGGACAGCGGTCAGGATTCAAAAATTAACCTTTAATCAGAAAAAAGAAAAACTGACCAATGTCTAGCTCCTGATTTTTTCGGGAGGTTAAAGAGCAATGTAGATAAGCGTAGGTAAGATGCCAGGTAATGAAAGGACTTGGGCCACAGTGGCCTCTTGAACTGAATAGGCTGTCAACATTAACTAACTAGATTTGCACATAAAGAACGCCATTTAAGTGCTGGGGACCTGCTGGCTTTCATGGAGCTAACCTCAAAAAGAATTTGTGGCTTTAGGAAAGGAAGGGGAAAACTGAGGAAAAGAAAGTTTTAACAGTACTTCAAATTCTCTTTGATCTCCTGAGAAATGAGAGTATTTACTTATAATACCAACCGTACAGTGTTGCAACATTTTAAGCTTTCCAATAACATACCTAAAACATAATATTCTTTGCCTGACTTAACAGGTTTAAACACATGTAGAAAATTTTCAAAGTAGTCAGGCATTCTCACACTTGTCATGGGAGCACCAATTTCTCGGAAGTATTCTTCTATCTCTCCCTTCCCATCGAAATGTGGCACATCCAGCTTTCCATCAGTCAGCTTCTTTACATTCTCAAGTCCACTGAACACAATATGCTTCACTTTGAACTGGCTGGAAATATCAGCTACTCTTTTACCCTGACAAAGAAAAATTAGGTCAACATTACTCTGTTCATAGTTCTTAAATTAAAATCACTGGTAAAGTTCTTTTAATGGTTCAGGAGAGTCCGAGATTCCTGGTCTGTGCCAAGTAATCTGATTTCAGCTGCCTTGATCGTGGGGCTGGTTCAATTTGGGGCGGAGAGAGAAAAATTAAATACTGTTCCCACATTTGCCTTTTTTTTTCTCATTGTCAATCAGGACGTGTGTGTATGTGATTATCCAACAAAGTCAGGATCAGATTTAGAAATGTCTTCCAAGGTCAAGTAATCTGAGAACATCAGTGGCACTGTGACCCCTCATATGAGGAATTGCTATTTGGCTGGAGTGACCTCCAGCCTGAATGACTGACTTTGAGAAAGGTCAGAAAGAATCTGGAAGGAAGAGTTATTCATATGAAGAAGATTCAAAGTAATGCTGTGCAACTTCTAAAATTACTCTTGAATAGCTTGATCACAACATGTTGTGCGGGAAAGGTCCAAGTCCAGTGCAGGCCACGTCTAGACAGGCAGTGGCATTAATCTCACACAAAGGGAATGGCATAAGGATACAAAGAAACAGCACTCAGGAGAAAACAGTGAACACATGATCACTAAGAACACATAAGCAATAATTAAGAGTTGTAGGACTGTCAACAACAGGAAATCCCCTTCAGTGCCAATGTCATCTCTGGAAACAGCATTCTATTCTTCTAATGTTAAAGTGCGCTCGCAAAATCGCCCAAAATCTTTTTTCTACAAAATATGATTTGTCTGCTGAAGCTACGTCTATATGTAATAAATTACATTTATTGTGTAGTGAGTTCTCAATTTCAGATGTGCAGTATTCTTCGAATAGAACATATTCCATAAATTTTAATATGAGGGTGAGACAGATAATCAGAGATTACAGTTCATTGCAAAGTTTCTAGAAGTGGTCTGGCTCCTATTCCTTTTGAATTCTCTCCTTGTCCCTTTGGCTTTCTCTTCTAAAAATATTTTCAAAATGCATAACTTCAACTAAGTTTTAAGCCACTTCTTCTACCTTCTACATCCTTGCTTTAGCTCTTATTTTCCCTATGCTCAATTTTAAAGATGCTGTTGTGTATTGACTATATTAAAGCTGCTATTTAAAGGCATAAAGTTGTAACTTTAGAATAGTATTATTGGCGTTCTTCATTGGACAAGGTATCTGCTGAAAGGTGTTTTCCCTTGTGCCATAGCAGGACCAGAGGGCATATCTCAGAATAATATCTCATTTAAGACAGAGATGAGGACAAATTTCTTCTCTTAGAGAGTAATGGATCTGTGAAATTCTTTACTGCAGAGTGCTGAAGAGGCTGGGTCATTAAGTATGTTCAAGGCTGAGATGAACAAATTTTTGATCAGTAAGGAAATAGTAGAAAATTAGACTCGAGGATTATCAGATTACCCAAGATCTTACTGAATGGCAGAACAGAGTGGGCTTTATCTGCTCCTACATTTAATGGTAATAGGCTCAAGATTAGGCTATATGCCTTCCTTCTCTTCTAAGCAGCATTGCATGGTAATATCTGAAACAAACATGAGAAGGAGAAAAAAACACAAGAAAAGATTTCACTAAATAATCTCGAATAAACTTTAAATATATAATAGCTCAGAAAGAGAATGCTCTTGGATTATATTTTCATAATATTCATACTTAGAAAAGCATTACTGCTACAAATAGCACATAGAGTTAAGTGAGCACATCAAAACCTGCTGTAGACTGTCAGTAGTTCAAGGACGAAAATTAAACTGAATCAATACAACAGTGTGATGTAGCCATAGATATTGCCTGAAGAATTTTGTTGATAGATTATAGTCAAATATATTTCTGTAATAACACAATTAAAACTAAGGGGACAAAGTTCTGACAGTTTACTTTTCTCAGCTATGCAGTTCTAGTTTCCGACTTCTAGAATACAAGTTTCTATGCAACTACCATTCATACAATTACGATTTGACCTCCAGTTTACAAATTTAGATAGAGAATTTCTTTCTCTCCTTCTGCATATTGCTAACATACATTCACCTTGTATATTATTTAGTATACATTGAAAATTGTGATAATGAAGGGATTTTGCTGAGTGGCCGATATTGCAGACAGCCCAAGGGAACGGTAATGATGTTGATGTGTAATGCTATATTCACTAGCCATGCCAGAGACGAGTGAATATTGATTATGCTATCAGAGCTTTGAGATTACAGTTATTGGATAGGATAGTATGCACAGTGGGTGCTATTTGAAAAATATTTTGCCCTCAACTAGCTGTTATAATTTAGCTCAAAATCGGCATAAATCACTCATGATCCAAACACAGGAAACAAAATGGTAGATTAACTGCAAAATAGCATGAACAAACTTTGACCAATTAATGTCAAGATCTGGAAGATTTTTGAGGCCAGTTGATGTGATGAAGAGACGAACAATGAGCAGCTCATTCAGCAAATTTTAAACAAATTCTCGACAGGACATGAAACCTTCCAGACGTTTACTGATTGCACAAGAAGACATGCTACACAACAGATCCCTTGAAACCCCTGAGGATGCTAATTTCTTGTGACTAAGCTTATATTACCTATACGTGCTGGAAGTAGATCCAGAGCCTATAACTTAGGATGTGTAATTCTATATTGAAAAATGGATCTCTAAATTTAGTGAAGAATAGTGCAAGCTGGTGAATAGTCAGCATTATAGCACATGCATGAATGACTGCAGGACAAACATGTACAGATGAGAAACAGATACAAATGCAATAAAATGTACCCCTTTTATATAATTATTAGCCATTATTCTGTCTCTTTGTTTCTCTCAGGTTAAATCTTCTTCTTATTTTTGTACCTTGAACCTCCGACAATAAGGCATCTTAAGTTGAATATTAAATGTTGTACTACTCCAATGGGTTTGGATGAGAAGAGGCCTGTATCAATTTGTTTGACATGCATGAGCCACCTCTCTGATTAATGGTATGAAGAGATGTAGCTGAGCATGATGAGGCACATGGCACAATGATGTTTGCAAAAATCTCCAAGAACAAATACAAAGTTCTTTTACATCAAACAAAAAACTAGTTGGGACCCTAAATCCGTTTTCTATAAAAATCAAATATGCGTTAATTGTTAAAATGAATCTTTTTTAAGAATGATAGCTTTTTGAATCTCCACAGAAACAATTTGAATTAAAGACGTAAAACAGCTAAAGCTCACAAATTGCACAAAAGAGAGATGTTTGTTGATTTTGTAGAATTATAATGGCGCAAGATATAACTCCCTCTGAGTTGAGTGATTTTCAAATGAAAACTGAGAGGCATACCAATTGAATTCCCATGCAGCAGTTTGTGATGAGCAGATGAGCTTTGAGATGACCAAACAGGTGGATGAGGGTAAAGCGGTTGATGTGGTGTATATGGATTTCAGTAAAACGTTTGATAAGGTTCCCCATGGTAGGCTATTGCAGAAAATACAGAGGCATGGGATTGAGGGTGATTTAGCGGTTTGAATCAGAAATTGGCTAGCTGTAAGAAGACAGAGGGTGATGGTTGATGGGAAATGTTCATCCTGGAGTTCAGTTACTAGTGGTGTACCTCGAGGATCTGTTTTGGGGCCACTGCTGTTTGTCATTTTTATAAATGATCTGGATGAGGGCATAGAAGGATGGGTTAGTAAATTTGCGGATGACACCAAAGTCGGTGGAGTTGTGGATAGTGCGGAAGGATGTTGCAGGTTACAGAGGGACATAGATAAGCTGCAGAGCTGGGCTGAGAGGTGGCAAATGGAGTTTAATGCGGAAAAGTGTGAGGTGATTCACTTTGGAAGGAGTAACAGGAATACAGAGTACTGGGCTAATGGTAAAATTCTTGGTAGTGTGGATGAGCAGAGAGATCTCGGTGTCCATGTGCATAGATCACTGAAAGTTGCCACCCAGG